GGTGCCCGCGGCCCGGCTCTGTGATATTGACGTGGGTTATTCACCTGCAGCGGGGTGCCTAAAAACATGGGCGGGACGCTGGGTGTCACCTGCTTTAAAGGGTGAAATAAAGCAGCGGAACGAGTGTATTTACTTGGGAAGTAGTTGTGGAGAGAGCATCCCGACAGCTGTTACTGAAGAGCTGCCGCAAAGTTTCTCCTTGGAAATTGCCTGGGTCGTGCCGGCGTTTCCCATCGCTTTCCGAGTCCCTGAGCTCTCAGTAGTCGTGGCCCAGGTCCTGTGCGCTCGCTGGGCAAGAATCTGCCCTCTGTTGTTATCAAATCCTGAAAGTTAAGTTAAAGTTTCATTTTATATGTATATATATATATGAATGTAGTTATTATCAACCTTATAGAGTACCTGTTCTCAGATCCTGCCTGGTTGCAGGTAAAGGATAACTAAGAATCATGAGGTGCTATGATAATACCACCTTTTATGTTATGTTGCTTAGGTATAGAATTCCTGTTAAGGAACCAACATGGATAGTGCTTGCTACCTTGCATGTAGTGACCTCTGGCCTAATTGTCACCGGGCAGAGTTGTGACTCAGGATGCTTGTGCTGGCCTTGCCAATTGCCATTCTCAACTAAACATTTCAGTCAAAGCACACTGGTGATTTTATTTATGTAGTTTTGCAGAAACTTTATATATATAATTGTGGTATAATAAATACCACTTATTTAAAGTGGTGTATATATATATATATATATATATGTGTGTATATATATATATATACCACTTTAAATAAGGTATTCTTCATCCCTGAATAAAACAAATTCTTTAAGGAAGGAATATTATTAAGGAAGGCACATTAGTTCACAGACCGTTTAACTAACTCACTTTCATACTAATGATACTAGGGTTTTTTAATACAAATCACACACATTTATTACTTGTTTCTAAAAGAGGGAAAATATGACATGTAATAACTCTCTGAATAGGGTCCTGATGGGTTTGATAATTTGAAACTTTATTTTCCGTCCATTTGCTTACGCAGAAATTCTAATTTGTTTTCACAACAATTACTGTATCTGCAGCAAAGGTAATGGTTACCTGTATCTACTGTTCCTAGCTCTGGCTAAGCACACTTGGGTTCAGGTCTGTGCTTTTACTGCAGACCATGGCATGTACTTTAGGTGAGCTGCCTTGTGTTAGTAGCCTCAAGCTGTGAGTCTCAACATGTGTTGAGATGTCAGAGCTAAACTTGCATGTCCCGTTTCTACCATTGTTTGGTCACTTTTAATGCAGTTTGAAGTAAACCTTTTGAAGTTCAAAATTAAATCAGAACTTAAAGTGTGTTTGGCACCTGTGTATATTATCCTGTGTCAGCTATGCATGGCTGGCCTGTGTACTGAGTAAAGAATGCTTAAAGGGGAAGCTGCTAATAAAAAAATTACACAGCATCCTCCTTACTTGAAAATTTTAAAATCTGTGTTTATGGTTTCTCATCTTCACATCACCTGGTAGCCTTTGGGAGGGGGAAGCTGTCATATTTGTTGTGCTTCTTGCATCTCTGAAACTTTGAAAAATTTGAGAAACTACTGATTTGATGAAGTTGTTTCTGGTTTTTGCAGCACGTCAGTGCTTTCATGCTCTGAAGTTGCTGAGGAAGGATTGCCTTCAATCGCTGCGTGTCTCACGATGTGCCTCCACTGCCACTGTGCCTCGCATAACCACGCACTACACAATTCATCCTCGGGACAAAGACAAACGATGGCAAGGTACAAACACTGCCTTCTTTAAAAGCTGCTGTATTGTTATTATCATTGCCATTACAATTGTCATTGCTGAGTCTTAAAGACATTGAAATGTGTTGCTGGCTTTTTCTCATTATGGAAATTCTCTGTGCTTACATACAGTACTAATATTTCAAATGAAATTTTTGCTTGCTATCTCACAATGAGTGTCTTTAGTGCTATAATATAATATCAGAGGAAACTTTATGCTTGTTTTAATAAAGAAAATATACAAGCAGCTTTTGGTTTAGCGATTATCACAACAAGATTTAGTTCTGTTCAGTATGTATCTGCTTGTTTTTTTCAATTGTTCTTACCATGAGGGTTTGGTTTTAGTGAGAGAGAGGCTGGAAGAAATTGGACATTGGCTTATGTTATGATCATTTTTTTCTATTGAAGGGGTAAACATGGAAAGATTTGCAGAGGAAGCTGATGTTGTCGTTGTTGGAGCAGGCCCTGCCGGCCTTTCTGCAGCCATTCGCCTCAAGCAGTTGGCTGCTGAGCACAGCCGGGAAGTGCGTGTGTGTCTGGTGGAAAAGGCTTCTCAGATTGGTGCACACACCTTGTCTGGTGCTTGTGTCGAGCCAAGGGCCTTAGAAGAACTCTTTCCAGACTGGAAAGAGCGAGGGGTATGTATGAGCATGTAAACACCAAAGTTCATTGCTAGAGTGTAAGGAACTTCATATCTGACTCATTCTGGTATGAGTTAGTCCCTGGTACCCTTGGTAATAAGCACCATTTTAAAATACATTGATGGAACAAAACAAAAATGGGCACCTTCTTTTTAGTCTGTTTCCTGTAGTTCAACAATGCTGGATGTTTTCTGTCTACACAGATATGCTGTGTCCTTTGCTCTTTTCTGCAGTGGTCCTACTGCACATACACAGTATGTCTGCTGCAGCCTGGGGTGCCCTGCACTTGCTCCCTGTGTGCAAAGTCTACCTCCTCTGTACAAACAGGAAGATGTTTGGTCCTTACCAATGACAGATGTGCTGGATCTGTACAATTGCTCTTCCTGGAGATGACTGATCCTGACTTCTGTGCAGACACCCTGGTGTAGCAAAGGCCTAAGATGATTTTAGGAGAGAGGTCCCGGAACAGCTGTCTGACCTGCAGTCAGCTGCCTGCTATCACCTGAGAGCTGCAAGAAGTCAGCTGTCAACTCTTTAGTTTGCCTTATGGTGATAAATCTGCACGTTGAGCTGCCTTCTTTAAAAAGGTCTAGACTATTGATGTAGTACAGGCCTGTGTACAATAGATGTTATTTGCAAATTTGGTTTTTTTTTTAACCTCACTAGTTGTGTTGATTCTTGTCTGATGACTGCCTCATAAAGTATTTTATCTTCTCTCTTTTGGTGCCTTCCTAAAGAAGTGCTATACTAAACCTGTAGTTTGTTTGATTTTGTTGTTTTTGTTGTTTCTGTTGTTTCTGTTGGATTGGCTGACAAAACATAACCCTCTACTTCTTCTATTTAATTTTTTGTAGGCTCCACTTAATACTCCTGTAACTGAAGACAAGTTTGGAATTTTAACAAAGACATCTAGAATTCCAGTGCCAATCCTTCCAGGTAAAGTTTAGTGAGGTAAAAGAGAGTCAGCTTCCTCTGTGTCTTTTTGAACTTCTCCATGAATCAAAAGAAGTTTGAGTTGGTGTAGTGCAGCAAGTGTATGTAGACTATAATAGGTTACAGTGGTACACTCTGTGTAGGTGATGGCTCTGATAACACATGAGACTAGCTTGAAGGTAGTAGCTGTGGAGGTGACAGCTTTGGTTATTTTGCTTCGTGTCCCATGTGTTATATGTGTGTGTGTCTTCTTTTGCCTAGGGCTCCCGATGGTTAATCATGGAAATTACATAGTGCGTCTGGGCCACCTTGTGAGCTGGCTAGGTGAACAAGCAGAAGCTTTGGGTGTTGAGATATATCCAGGCTATGCAGCAGCTGAGGTACTAATGACATCAGTGTGTGTTTATGAAAAGTGGCTTTGGAACCCCCTTCAGTGCAGTCATGATCATTTGAAGATGTGCAACATCCCTTTTAACTGATATGTATTGTGAAAACTGTGTTTCTCTGTCTCAGTTCCCTGGCTCAGATCCAGCAAAGTGCACACAATACATTAATAAATACATGATCTTCATGTTTGACCATTTGAGTCATAGTGTCTAGAAGTTCTGCTTTAGA